ATACTTATATAATTCAGGGCACATCATTATGTCCAACTTGACGTCATATAAAATAAAATAAGATTTATTCGAGTTGTTTTCCAGTACATTTCGGTAATGTTACAATAATATAATAATAATATTATCCTTTTATTACCAATTCAATATTAAGGTAAGTAATGGTGATGCCAAAATTGATACCATACGTCTTGATATTGATCAGTACGAAAAAAATAGCGTATTATAAGGTATTATCCCGTAGTCTTAAAACGCAAAATCAAATTGACCCAGTACATAATATATAAAATATACCACCGCATATTTAGTATAATAATTATGCACAGCTCTTAATCCGAGATGCTAACAAATTCCAATTAAACGTTCAAAACTCTCACATAGTCACGAGATAGTTTAGAAATATTTGGGCCTCATCAAAAAAAAATTAATATAAGAGTGAGATTATAATATTTTGTCACAACTGCTTTTGGACAATTTTTCATCTCCTATCATTGCGGTGGAAATAAAATATAAAAGCTCTAAGAACAAAATATTATTTTCTGATATTATAGTAGGTAATTAATTTATTATGTTTTATAAGAAAAGAAAAGAAAATCGCCAACTTGTGTGATTTATTATTTGTGGATATAATAGTTGTATACTAAACAGTATGACGAGAAATACATCAAAGTACCTGTGCATATAATTTATGATTTTTTGACATTTTTACGTAATTATTATAAAAAACTGGGGAATATTAATTATGCGCATGATGATAATAATATTTAATTATGTAATATTTCTGGCAAACGATGAGCGATAAATCGTATACACACGAGGAAAATACAGTTTTATATTTTATAAAATATTACGGATTTACAATTTTATGGCTTATTCGATAAGGTTTTAAATAATGAAATATTATGTTCAATTTTGAATATCATTATAATTTATACATTATCATACAATACTTTAATAGATTAAATATATTATGTTTGGTTTTAATTTTTTGAAGTTTTCAGGTTAAATATTTTACCTATTATATTGGATTATATTAGTCAAGGTTGCTTTACAGTATGTTTATACAAATTTAATATTAGACAGTTAAAAATCGGAAGAGCTATAAAGTATAATTTTCAATGCTATTTTTTTTTCTAAATTTAAATTTAAATATATAAAAAAATATAAATATTAAAAATATATATATATATAAATATAAATATAGTATATATTATAATAAATAAATATAATATATTATATTATATAATATTATATTTAAATATAAATATTTTTTTAAATATTTTTTTTTCCTTCTTATTTTAAATCAATTACTGTTTTCACACTTGAGTTTGTTGACTATTAACTATCTATCTTTTGTACATAAATTTATATTTTTTATTCCATTTTATGTTCTGAATTGTCACATGATATATATCGTAATGAACATAAAGCTGAAATTCCTATTATATCTTTTTTTTATATTACACAATTTGAACTATTTTTCTGTAGATTAGTACGATACTATTAATTGTGTTCTATATTAATTGAAACATATCTTACAAATCTCAATAAGTCGAAACTGTTTAACTAATCATATTCTTGAATTTTTATTTAATCAAGCATCACATTTTACTATATGCCTACATATTATTTATATTATTTCCTATGTTCCTAACGGACTCGAAATGAAATTTTAAAAACAAACATTGGTTTTAAATATTGAAATCATAAAATAAAATTGAAGACAAGTATAATGGTAAAGGAATCTGATAAAATGGCAATGTTTAAAAATGAGTTTGAAAAACTATGAGAGACGAAACAAAAATGATTTTATTAATTTTTTACACCGGATGTTTTTGAGATAGCTTGTAGATTTTTTAATTTGTGCCCACAAAAACTGACCTAAATAAGAAACGACGACGATTCAGTTAGTGAGAAAATCAACTTTATTTAAGAGATCATTTCTAATGCATTCCTCTCTGGTAATAATGTATTCGAAACTTATACACAAAGGCACCAAGTACACTAGAGAAACTAATAATGTGAAACTTGAAACTACAATCTCATAAAATTGTCTCTTACACATATATATATTTTAGTAGTTTGACGCTGTACTGAGTTTCATGCGACTCATTTTATTTTCAATTTCAGGTATTTATTACAACATTTTTGTAATTATTATGTTTTGTATAAGTTCATTGGAGTAAACGCTGGAATAACACACAAATAAATAAATAATGTACTTATTGTTTTTAAAACACATAAGTAAATTTTTTTTTTCTTATGAACAGCATGTAATGCGTCGATATTAAAATTATATATATTAAAGTTAATAATATTCATGTGCCAATATGATTCAAATTTGTTAATTATACCTACCTAACACTTTATTGCTTATTTGAATGCACTTTATCTTTGACCATCAGTATGAAAAAATATTTTGTCATATTAATAAAAAATTGATGAAAATCAAATAAAGTAAAAACTCAAAATGTGTAAAAAGACCTACCGATTGATTTCTGACCTCATAGTATGCCCTAGTTACCAAGTAATAGCTAAAACATCCTAAATACAATAATTATAATTAATTGGTTTGAAGAAAGAATGAGCATACTCTCAAAAGACACCCTTATTGTCAAAAATGTCACTATTACACAATTTTTTTATATTTATATAGTATTATGTATTATATCTTATAAGTACTATCCTATGTTTAATATAAAAACATTATATTTGGACACAAGTCTGTCATAAATGTATGTTATTCATTAAAATAAGTATAATACTTAACTGTACTAATATAAGGGCATTTCATTAACTAGGTATTTAATTTTAACGTTCCAAATTTATGTTAATAATTTTATCAGGGTAATTCAAAGAAATTTTCAATTTTAGTTTTCGACTGAATTTAACTTTAAAATTAGATATCCAGGTAAATTTAATATGTTCATATATATTTTATCTTTATTTTCTATTATAAGTGTTAGGATTCTGCAATCTACAAATTAATCGTATTGGTTATTCAATGGTTCTTTCAATGCATAGTTAGTAAATATTGACTTAAAATTTATTTTAATTTGTTATCCCTCCTACCCAAACAAAGAAATGTTCTAAATTTCGAAGCAAACAATTTTAAATGATACGACTTAAACGTCTTTTTATTTCTTGATGTTTTTTTAATCTCGTAAAATGTATAAATGTGTAATATAATCTACATCACAAAGTTAAATATGTTAAATAAGGGAAGATATACTGAAATTTTCAAAACAATTTAATAACTCGTTATATATTTATGACAGCTCAACTCTCAACAACATCCTATAGGTCATAGATGACGTCAGTTAAAAGATCGTTGCTGAAATGTCGTTCACGTTTGACCGAGTTCGTCACTCTAATTTATTTGAGCTGTCAAAAAGCCAATACCCTGCAGTTATATTTATCTAATGTTATTAATTAGCGTTTTATTTCATGAACAACTGGATGGATAAACTTGTGAGCTGTGGAAGGCAAGTGACGATATTTTCGTAGCAGTTCTTTCCCAAATATCTCTAAGAAAAAAATATGATAATAATATAATATAAATGGGACAAAGTATTGTAATATTTTTTTTCTCAATGGCTTTTGCATGATATAATATAGTTTATTTTGGCTATTATACATTATTATTTGTACAGGTCAATGTACCAGTGGCATTTACATGTTATAAATCTAACACTTCACAAATATATCTTTGAAAAGCAGTGTTATGAAATATTGTATTATGACTGCAAATATATTTGTATGTATGTACATAATATCTTATATATATATTTATATATATATATATAGATGAGTAATTATAATATGTAGTTCTCATGAGAATAATATGAAATAATAATGATTTATATTTACTTATTTATTTAAGCTTATAATTCGACCATGCTCAAAATTTTCAATTAATATTTAGTATGATTAAAATTACTAAGTGTGATATAAAGTTGAACATTATCATTAAAAACAACTGATTAAGGTTTTTGAGGTACAAAAGGAGTGGTCGGAATTAGCAATGAACACACACCGCCGAAGTGGTTCATTTAAACCATAATTATTAGTGGAGAGACATTTAAAGGAATTAGAGAGAATAGATGTGGTGATTCAATTAGCTCATTTAATGATTTAGAAAGAAATTTAAATTTAGCAGCATGCCTACGATCTGCTAGTGAATACATTTTGAGATGCATATTCTGTTTCATTGTATATAACAGTAAATTGACTTCAACTTAGCGTAAAATCAAGATGCCACTTATGGAGAAGAAGGAATGGTTAAAACTGTCGATTAAATGTGTATAAAATAGGACATTCGATAAACAAAGAAAAACGCTAAAAAGTATAAATATTACGAGTTATTTTTTTGCTAGGACTATTTTATATTTGATTTTTATTCTTTTTAAGTGTTTTCAGAACACTGAATTTACTCTGCGTAGACCTTTTGTTAATCAATGTAGAAGTCAATTACTGCATATAACAATATTTATAATATCCTCAATAAGGATTTCTCATACTAATGAATGGATAATGTGATAATGGGCTTGAATAGAACAACTAGATACAAACACTTTTTTCTACGCCAACGGGGAGGAATAAACTATTTGGTTAAATATACAATATATATTTTGTATGTTTGTTGATATTTTTTATTTCATCCAAATCAATAAAATTTAAACAATAAAATAGTTACGATACATTTCATAAATATTTGCTTATTCGTATTCCAACTGAGCGATGATCGTGTCTGGTATACGGATTTCATGGTTATTATAATATTCATTTTTCTGTAAAATACTTACACAATTAAAAATACGACTTAATTAATTCAAATAATTAAACGAAATAGTCAATGCGTATTATTCGTGTATTTACACATTACACGCATATAATAGATTTAAACAAAATAATATTATAATATAATAAGAAATGTTATCATTAAGACTATCTTTATAACATTTTAATATTTTATATAATTTTATATGTATATTTTTTTGTAGGTTTACCCAAAACACGTCACATTTATTCAAATACACTTGTTAAGATGGGCGTTGGACATTCGAACAGACAAGATCGTTCGTGTCCTCTAGACGGCGATGGTGAGTGATTATAATTATTTACATATTCGAGTATAGAAATACTGTCGAATTATAATAGTATATTATTTATAAAGTGTTTGCAAGTATCGTTCACTTGAAGCATCAATTATGTTATAGGTACACGTAGAACATAATATGATATTAGTGTCAGTAATGTTGTGGTCATAAGTCATAGATCATTACCACAGTACAGATTCAATCAAATTTTAAATGACCTATCCGATTGTATCTTATAACAAATCCATCGCAAATATTAATTTTAAATGTTATTTTTACATCTTATTAATCGAAGAGTTTTGTATCATGGTAATTTGTATCTATTACTATTACCTGTACCTACTTTGTTTCCGGTTTTGTTTATCGCGAAACGTGTTGGAAAAATATTGAAATATAACAAAATTGGAAACTGTAAATATTCCATAAAATGCAAAACCTAATGATGTTATATAAATATACGATGGAAAATAATGATATATTTTTATTGTTCTTTTGTCAAATTTTAGATTCTGAGCGAAGCGAAAGAATGTATTGATTTTACAATGATGTGTTTTTCTGTCTGTCATCACCTTTTGGAGCAGTAAAAATATTCTGATTTTCTATTTCAGCATCTTTTCTGGGAGAAAAGTGAATCTAGTAGGTACTTTTTTTGGCAGGGGGGGGAGGTAAAAAGTAAATAAGTAAATTCTCAGTAGTTTGTTTTCAAATGCGTTACGAAGAACAATTTCTATGCAAAACCATTTTTCGAAAGATCAACTTTGTTTAAAATAATCATAGATAAATTACATTTTCACCAAATGTTTATAAATATTTTGACTCTTTTTGAGGTATAAAGCCAAGAGAAATTTTAATTTTTGTCTTTCAATATTATTGTTAGCAAATACTTAAAAATGTAATGCAAAGTTTCCTCATAAGTTGCTAATAGTTCAATTTTTCTTTTTAAAATTGTAAAAACAACAATTTTGATGAATGTAGTTAAAATGTTGACGAAATTCATCAACAATATACTTCCATACCTTACATTTCAAAATGTAATAGACAATTTTTAGTAAGTTTTTATACTTCCAACAGAAAAAAAGCTTACTAGAAAGTATCTCTAATTTTTAAGTGGGTTTAAATTTATACTTGTTAAGACATTTTATACTCATTGCACCTGTCAAATTTTCAAAATGTGTTCACTATTTTTGAGTACGACACATACTATTTTTATAATATTAAGATTATTGAAATATTAATAATATTATATGTTTATGAAATTGACATAAAATGTAACATTTACTTTAATGTATTCTAATGATAATCGACATAAATAGACGTTCGTTTCTCAGGCCCCCACCTATTTCAAGATGGGTAGTAAATTTAATTGTACTAAATTCAAATCTTTGTCATGCATGTAATTTAATAATATCCAAGTGTCTGTATGAGCAAAAAATTTCAATATATTTAATTGTATATATCACGCAATCTAGCTACTATTTGAATCAGGGACAGTGTTTCTACTATAATAGAATACCTATTTGTATATTTTGTTGCGTGCGATCCACGTAACAACACAATGTTTACCAATTTTATAATTACCCATCTACTTAAAAGTTTAAAATGATACTCGTCGATGACAGGTTAACACTTAAACAGCGACTGGCTAAAAAGTTCGGGTGGGTTGATTTTGCCAAAGTATCATTCTAATTTGTGACGAAATAGTAGGTAGGTATATATTATGTTGAACCATGGTAAGTGTGAAATAAATAATAATATACTACTACCTAAGTATCTTATCGACGACCCAATGGCATTATGGAGCCATTCCATTCATTACTTCATTGGATAACACTGACCATCGTAATAGGAAGTATTATTATTTACTTCACTTCAATATGATACCTAATAAATTATTTATCAAATACGGTTGGACACCATGATTAATAAATATGGAACATATTTTATGAGTCACTCGAACCTATTACAGGTGTACAGTATTATATGAATATAAAGACGAACTATGGACATATTATTATTATATCATACTGAAAGGTTATTTTAGCAAAAATAAAAGTGTTAACTGGATTGTAATAAAATGTTGAGACTGTTGATGGCAGTTGGTAGCACTTGTTATGCTCAGATACAGTCGATTGCGTCCTAAAAACATTTAAACGAAATTGTTCACCTTTTTTATGTTGTTATTGCGTCTTATTATAAAGAAACTAATCGTTAAATTACACTATTTTTGGTATTATGAAGTGGACCTAGAATAATAATGATATTTTGAGTTTAGGAAAATTAATTAATCTAAAAATTGTACATAATAATATTTTTATATCGTTATTTATTATCTTGTAGGTACGTACGATCATTCTAGCATTTAATGATTACAAAATAAAATAACAATAACAATAATAAACGAAAAAACTGAGGGAGTCACTCTAAGTATGTGTCTAGAAGGGTCACTGTGATGGTTGTGTGAAATTTGAATTCAATGGTATAAAATAATTGTATGGAAAAAACAATTCTGATCGAAGGTGTTCGTTAGTCTATAATGTTCGGTATAAAGTATGTTTTTTACTTTTATGATGTTATTGGGATTAAAGTAATTTACTATCAGGAATTGGTACTATAATACGTTAAATATTAATTTATTCTAAAAAAATTATATTTGAAAATGTTATTGTTATATGTAATTATGAAATGTTATAAAATAATGTTATACTTGCAATGTAATTTTTGAGTTACAATTATAAATAAAAGTTAGTTAAAAATAATAATAATAATTAATTTAAATGCTTCAAGTACCTACGAATAATTTTTATAATTACAACAATAAATCTACAATCATTACTGTTTTAGCTTTAAGTTACCACTAATAACAACTTATGAGGAACTTTGTATTAAATTGTTAAGTTTTTCCATCGAGTGAAAAATGTTTTATTCAGTACGTAATTAAAAGACAGAAATAAGAGGAAATTTTTTTTACCTATCTAGAGTTCCAACATAAAAAAATTGATTTTTTTCAAAACTGGTTTCGCATAAAAAATCTCTGTTCTTCTTTAATATTTTGTACCTATATCTGGACGCTTTTGAAACCACTTGGAATTTTAACTTCTTATCCCCAACCACTCTTCCCTAAAATATCGACAATTCACTTTCCTACCTGAAAAGATGCTGAAGTAGAAAATCGAAGCATTTTTACGAACACAAAAAGTGAAAACAACTATACATAATTGAAAATTCTCGCTTCCCCTAGCACCTTAATTTAATTAATACTAAACATTTACATATTAACATTTATTTATTTTAATATAAACATAGATTTTAAGTGAAATAATTTAAAGATATTGTATTTTATTTTTAAATTGTTTATCTATGTATTCTTGTCATTTTAATATTTTAATAATACGTTTGTCCCAGCCCAATACAAATTATAAACTCTCTTCATACTTTAATTTACCTGACTAGGGACGCAATTCAAACACTGAAAAGGTATAAAAGGTCGAAATTGGACGCAATCGGATAATTCCCGTTATGCAATCGCTGCAATGTTTTGTAACCTTTTTAATATCGTGGGTCAACCCATCAAACTTCGCATGATATTCGTTTTTTTAATTCTACCAAGAATTCGGAAGTATCAAAAATAAAAAAATTCTTTAGACAGATACTGTTCTTTGGTATACGTTGGAAATATTCTTATATTTGTAAATATTATTTTTTAGCAAAATTATAATAGACGCACTAGATTATGACAGTAGTTATACATTATTATTTAATGTGTAGGTAATTTTTTTTTATATTATATTATACCAGCATTTATTCTGTAAATCTCATAAGTCATAATAGTTGGATAGTCCTTAAAATTAAATGTCAAAATTGGTGGTTGTTTTTATCATCTTACTAGCAGTTCAAAGTTACTTTTAAAATAATTCTTTAGATTTTATATGACTATTTTATTTGACATTTATACGATTCAAAAACTTATATTGACAGGCATGGTAATAATAATATGTCAAAACATGGGATTATGGCACTCGATAAGATATAACAGAGACATACCACATGTCCACATACGTATGTATGTAAGTATACGCATTGGCGTTTGATCGAAAAATAGTAGGAATCCAATTTTGTTTAAATACATTTTATATCTACGCATTGAACTTTTTTATTGAACGAAGACATACTATTTGAAGAAAAAAAAAACATTCTAAACTTCTCGTGGGCAAAACTTATGTTGAACAACGATGTAACGTTATGAATTATAATTGAATTATTTTATTTCCAGTGCCATTGAAGATACCCAAAAAGTTAATACATAGTTAGCGTCATTGTATAATGTAGCTATACATATTGAATGTAGTTTTCTGAAAATAATGATAATCGCATTTCAATCGGGGTCATTTTCAGCTTGGAGATTTTGACAACATTTCAACCAAAATGTTCTGGTAGTATTTCGAAACGAGTCGAACCATATCTAATGACGAGTTAAAAATGTGACTACATTGCTCAGTTAGTTGGTTCGTGGCTCGTTAAAAATGCTCCGATCAGTATCTCTATAATATATAAGCACGTCCAACTTTAAAATAGTGACTTGTCTCCATTATTAACGTTCTGCCTGTCTGTCTGTCAACGACGGCAACGTACCTATTTATAAGAAACAATAAATATGTATTTTTTTTCTTTTTCTTTTTGACTTTTTAAGGTCCGCAACCACCGACTGCTCACATCTGCCCAAACTTATCCTCCCTAGTTATTGTCCATATTCTTTTCCCGGCATTGCTAATCCTATGCAAATGACGATCATATCTCTGTTTTCGAGGCCGTTGACCGTTTTGTATTCGGTTTCCTCGTAAATATTAATAAATGATTAGTTTGTGTGATAAAAATGTATTAAATAATAATAACAGTTTCTTAAATGATCTCCTAAGTTTTAGATGATATTATCTTTATTTTTTCAAATAAATTATGAAAATACAATTTAGAGTACGTAGTCGAATTTGAGAAACGATCTGTATTCC